GGCTAACTTGGAACAGTTGAAAAAGTTCTCCTAAAGCCACTAATCCAAAGAAATACACTCTGTTTCTTAGATCTTATTTGAGAATGACTGACTTTTGTTAGAATGCCTCTAAGCCCAGCACTAGTAGCATCTGAAGATCACTCTGTAGCTCATGCCAGGTAACCTCTGACAGGGTACAGGCAGCAGCTGACTTTGATCTGCACCACCAGAGCAGTGCACCCAGAGGACAACTTTAAACTATATCAGAGCATCACCATCCATCCACCTCCACAAGTGACACACTCAAGGAGGGACTTGTCAGGAACCAGAACATCACTGAGCTGAATCCTGCTTTGTGGGGTCAGCACCTGCACAGCAGATTCTCCTCTGTGGTTAGAGCCAGTTTTTGCAATCGATCAGCCTGGGGATAAATTCCACTTATGTGCCAATAACAAATCTCAACTACAATAAGAAGGTGCACAGAGCCCACACAGTGCCAGGGAGAGGATGTGCCCCTGGAAGCCCTGATCAGGTGACTGGGGAGGTTGGGCTACTGGGCCTTCAGAACAGCTACTACATAAGGCCACTCTACCAAGACTGGGAGACATAGCAAATCTACCTAATACATATTGTAGAAATAAACACAGGGAGGCAGCCAAAATGAGAGACAAAGAAACATTTCACAAATAAAAGAACTGAACAAAAGTCCAGAAGAACTAAAGAAAATGTAGACAAGCAGAGTTCAGATGTAGATGCAGAGTTCAACACACTGGCTATAAGGATGCTTAATGAACTTGTGTGGGGTGGGGGAGGGATGAACTCAGTGAAAATAAAGAGACAGGAAACATAAAAATGGAAATAAAAAACATTTAAAAAGCCAGTCAGAAATGAAAAATACCATAACTGAAATGAAGAACATATTACAGGGAATCAGCACTAGAGTAGATGAAGCAGAGAATCAGATCAGCAATTTGGAAGATAAGGAAAAAGAAAACAATCAGAACAACATAAAGAAAAAAGAATCCCCAAAAATGAGGATGGTGTAAGGAGCCTCTGAGACAATTTCAAGTATATCAATATTCACATCATGGGGGTGCCAGAAGTAGAAAAAAGAGAGCAAGGAATTGAAAGCCTATTTGAAAAAATGGAAAACTTTCCTACATTGATGAAGAAAATAGACATAGAAGTCTAGGAAGCACAGAGAGTCCCAAACCAGATGAACCTGAAGGCCTACATCAAGACACATCATAATTAAAATGCAAAAGGTTAAAGACAAGAGAGAATCTTAAGAGCAGCAAAAGAAAAGCAGTTAGTCACCTACAAGGGAGCTCCTGTAAGACTGTCACCTGATTTCTCAACAAAAACTTTGTAGGGCAGAAGGGATTGGCAAGTATTCAAAGTGATGAAAAGCAAATACCTAAAACCAAGACTCCAGAAAAGGTATCATTTAAAATCAAAAGATATATAAAGAGATTCTTAGACAAGAAAAAGCTAAAAGAGTTCATTACCACCAAATCAGTATTACAAGAAATGTTAAAGAATCAAGAAGGAAAAAAAGAATGGGGAGGAAGAACTCAAAAATATGAATAATAAAATGGTGATAAATATATATCTGTCAGCAATTATTTTAAATGCAAGTGGATTTAATATTCCAATCAAAAGACATAGTGCAACTGAATAGATAACAGACAAGACCCTTATTACATATTCTGTCTTTAAGAGACTCATCTTGTATCAAAAGATACACACAGATTGAAAATAAAGGACTGGAGAAAGATACTTCATGAAAATGAAAAGCAGAAAAAAGGCCAGGGTAGTAAGACAAAATATATACCAAAACAAAGGCTATAACAATAGAAAAGAAGGTGCTGGTGCTCCTTCTTTTGGAAGCATTCCATTTTGGGGTATTTAACTGAAGAAACATAAAACACTAAATCAAAAAGAAATATATATCTAGGATGGAGGCATAGGTAGATATACTGTGCCTTCTTGCACAACCAAAAGGACAACAACAAATTTAAAACAAAAACCAACCAGAACCACTAGAAAAATCAAACTGTATGGCAGTGTGACAACCAAGAAGTTAAAGAAGAAACATTCATTCAGATCAATAGAAGGGGTGAAAACAGGCATCTGAGGTGGAGAAGACTTGCAGCAAGGCTGCAGCTGGTGGACTGGGTGGTCCCACATTTGCATGAGGATAAACCTGGAGGAACAACTAGGAAGGGAGATATACTGCAAGACCCAGGGTTCTGGTGCAGGGAAATAAAGCCTCAAATCCTCTGACTGAAAAAACCTGTGGGGATTGCAGCAGTGGGAGAAACTCCCAGCCTCACAGGAGAGGTATCTCATTGGAGATACCCACAGGGTCCTAGAATGTACACAAACCCACCTACCTGGGAATCAGCACCAGAAGGACCCAGTTTGCTTGTGGGTGGCAGAGGAAGTGACTGAAAGCCAGCTGAGAGCCAAGCAAGCAGGACTGTTCCCTCTCTGACCCCTTCCCCACATAACAATACCACAACACAGAGACCTGGGTTGAGCACCCCACCCCCTGCAAATACCTAAAGCTCTGCCCCTTAGTACATGACAGGTGAAAAGAAAACATAGCCCAAATGAAAGAACAGATCAAAGCTCCAGAAAAATACAACTGAGCAATGAACATATAGCCAACCTATCAGATGCAGAGTTCAAAATGCTGGTAATCAGGATGCTTACAGAAATGGTTGAGTATAGTCACAAAAGAGGAAAAAGTGATGGATATATGCAAAATGAAATATAGGAAAATGTACAGGGAGCCAACAGTGATGGAAAGGAAACCAGAACTCAAATCAATGCTTTGGACCAAGAGGAAGAAATAAACATTCACCCAGAGCAGAATGAAGACACAAGAATTCAAAGAAATGAGGCGAGGCTTAGGAACCTCTGGGACAACTTTAAGCATTCCAACATCCAAATCACAGGGGTGCCAGAAGGAGAAGAGGAAGAGCAAGAAATTGAAAACTTACTTGCAAAAATAAGGAAGGAGAAATTCCCCAATCTGGCAAAGAAATAGACTTCCAGGAAGTTCAGAAAGCTCAGAGAGCCCTAAAGAAGTTGGACCCAAGGAAACACACACCAAGGCACATCATCATTACATTACCCAAGATTAAAGATAAGGAGAGAATCTTAAAAGCAGCAAGAGAAAAGGAGACAGTTGCCTACAAAGAAGTTCCCATAAGACTATTAGCTGATTTCTCAAAAGAAATCTTGAAGGCAAGAAGGGGCTGGAAAAAAGTATTTGAAGTTGTGAAAGGCAAGAACCTCCGTCCAAGATTACTCTATCCAGCAAAGCTTTCATCTAGAATGGAAAGGCAGAAAAAGTGCTTCCCAGATAAGGTCAAGTTAAAGGAGTTCATCATCACTAAACCCTTATTATATGAAGTGTTAGAGGGACTTATCTAAGAAAAAGAAGATGATCAAAAATATTAACAGTAAAGTGACAACAAACTGACAGCTATCAACAACTGAACCTTGAAAAAAAAAACAAAAACAAAAACTGTTTCTAGCAAACAACTAGAAAAGAACAGAATCACAGAAATGGAGATCACATGGAGGGTTATCAGCCAAGAGTGGGAGGGGAAGAATGGGGAGGGGGGAAGTACAGGGAATAAGTAGCATAAATGGTAGGTACAAAATAGACAAGGGGATGTTAAGAACAGTATAGGAAATGGAGGAGCTAAAGAACTTATATATATGAGCCATGGACATGAACTAAGGGGGGAGAATGTGAGTGGGAGGGTGGGTTCAGGGCAGAAGAGAGTAAAGGGGAGAAAATGGGACAATTCGAATAGCATAATCAACAAAATATATTTAAAAATAAATAAATATCTTTTTAAAAGACATATGTCCATATGGTTATTGCAATATTATTTACTATAACCAACACATGAAAGCAGCCTAAGTGTCCATCGGTAGATGAACATATAAAGATGTGGTATATATACACGATGGAATATGATTCAGCCATAAAAAATGAATCTTGCCATCTTGAACAACATAGATGAACCTAGAGGGTGTTGTCTGAGTGAAACAAGTCAAACAGAGAAAGACATATATCATATATATGTGAATCAAAAAATAAATAAATGAACATGCAGAACAGAAACATACTCATAGATAACATTTTGACAGTTGCCAGAGGGGAGGGGAGTCGGGGGACTGGGTGAAAAAGGTGAAGGGATTAAGAAGTACTAATTGGCAGTTATAGAATAGTCATGGGGATGTAAACTATAGCATAGGGAATATACTCAATAATACTGTAATACCTATGTATGGTGTCAGATGGGTACTAGATTTATTGGGGTGATTACTTTGTAAATTATATAAATGTCTAATCACTGGGCTTTATACCTGGAACTAGTATAATATTATATATCAACTGTAACTGAAAAATTTTTTAAATTATTTAAAGAAAAAATAGAATAATTTTTGATGTGCTAATTTACTAAATTATCATTCTGCTATATGTATGAAGCAATAAAGGTTTATTTTCCTGACAAAAGAAAATGGTTTCTTGGCCATTGGTATGTCATATTTCTCTTTTATCTCTTAATCTCAAATTAAGCATACTTTCTATTTGTATTGCACTTACAGCTACAAAAAGACTCTAAGATAACCAGCCCAGTTTTACAGATGTGATTAAGAAATTTGTCCATCATCGTATAGTTTGCATATATCCTTGAAATCAGGTGCTTGGATTTCAAATCAAGTACTCTTTTCATTCTAAGAGTACCACTTGTAGAAGAGTAATAAAATAAGAAAATGGGTGTCTCTTTGAGGTTTTAGTGAAACTATACTTGACTGTGTAGTTTTTCCTAATAGAGAGTTTCAGTTCAGGGTTCTCCAGAACACAGTTATGCCAAGGATCCAGTTGTGTGCAGCTACATCATTAACAACAGACTGTTGGTATTTCATTGACTCAAATATGTTAGCATAAGTATTTTATGTGGTTTAATTTTTGTCTCCCATTTCATTTGCAGTTCCCCAGAACAAAAGGACAAATGGTTCTCTCTCCTTCAGAGGTATTTTTTCAGTATACATATTTTCAATCTTTAACCTGTAGTTAAATGATTTAATTCATTTCTGCAGATACTCCAAACTATTCCCCTTCTACTTCATAAAAATTGTTAATTTGTCCTCAAAATAAGCTGCTATTTAGACTATACACTAGCTACTAAATACTATAATGTTTTCTCATTACATGCATTTCTTACTTTCTAAGAAGGAGAACATGGAGATCTGGTCAGATTATTTTAGACAAAAATTAGTCAGTAATGTCTTCTATATCTTTTCCTGTTTCCAGCCTACCATTTGGAGTTAATAGTTTCCTCAAAGCATGTATTAAGTTTTCATATATGGAGATTTTTCTGCTGAGCCCCTTAAAAAATCAATCATTATTCTTACCTTTGAACATACAAACTAAAGTGGTCAGTTTAGGTTCATCTGTTATTCCCCTGGTTCCCTCCATTCTTCCCTCTCTCCCTTCCCAAGCAATGGGGTAACCAAGATTTACATCCCACAGAACAGCTGAAAAGTGAAAGGCCATTATTTTTTGTTTGATCTAGTAAAGTATTACATGTTTCTGGACATAAGTAAGGTCCTGGGCCTATCCTGCGAGGGTAGGGAAGCTTTGAGTATAAAACATCACCCAGAGGTGCCTAAACCTGACTGCTTCTCAAACCTCCCACTTGAAATGGATCTCCCATTCTTTTTTGTGTCCACGCCTAATGTCCTGAGAATTTTTTCTCTTCCAACCCATAATGTAATCTGACTTTGCTGAGTCTTTCCATCTGTCTTTTTTAAAATAGCATATAAGTATATTGAAAATATTAACAAAATAGATTGATACTATAAAAATAAGCCATTTAGCAAAATCCATCTGACTCAGTGTTGTTTTGGGTTGTTGTTGCATTTGATTAGATACATCAATCTAGAGAAAGAGAAGGACTATCCGAAGAGCATTCCCCTCAAAATCTTCGCCAAGGACATTGGGAATTGTGCCTATGTAAGTGTTTCTAAGCCACAAAATTAAATTCTAAGTCCCTGCATAAGGCAAAACACCATGGATTTAAAAACAAAACAAAACAAAACAAAACAAAAAAACAGGAAGGCAGACAGACTGTGTATGTGCTTTGCAAGGTAGGCATTTAGAAATACCACTGTGGTAAAACACATTTTCCTGCATATGTATATGTCTTTGTATATATGAAAAGTAAACCCTAGACAAAATTAAGCAAGAGAAATTCATATTAGCCATGGTATTTAACATTTACACTTGGAAGGAATATTGCTTGTCATATGTCTCTTTCTTCCTTCTGGCATTAATATTTCTCTGGATCCTTTCAATAGCAGCTGTAGAGGTTTATACTAAAGCCATTTCCACAAGGAGATATTTCCTATTAATATTAAGCAATTTTTCCAACTTACCACTTTTTTAGTAGAGAGTGGTTTTGCAAAGTTCTTCATTCTTTGAGTTTTTAAGGGGATTGAGTTACTCAGGTTAACAAATAGATGAGCTGTGAGAGATGACATTTTAAGGGATCAGCATGTTTCTACCACACAGTTTTTATCATACTGGCCAAATAAAAATTAAGTCTACTTAATTCTAGTTATTATGTGTAATTTGATGACTAAAATATAGTAAAAGTGTCAAGACATTATCAATGATGAACAAAATGGAAACTTGTGAATATTTTCATTTTCACTTTGAATTGTCATACTTCACAGCAGCTCTAGATTTTGTGTGAGAGAAAATATATAATACAAACAATTGTGTTTGGGCCAAAAGCAGAAGTTAAGCAAAAATTCTGACATGAGTGCCAGATGTTACTGCTTTGAGGGAAATGTTCAGATTTTTATGGTATAAAGACTTCAGAGGTCTCCTGTAGCAAAGTAGAAAAAAAAACAAAAACAACTTTTTCTGCTGGCTTTAATTCAGTTGTTGTGGCAGTTGGTTATATTCAGTATCTTCATAGGAAATCCCATGAACTTTTTTTTTTTAACACTTGTAGTGTATGGAAATTGTGTGCTTGAGAAAGGACTGGTGTTCCAGTCTCCTTTTGGAAGAGAAGATACGTGATATGGTTGGGTGCTGGGTTTATATCACTACTGTGCTGGTTAAGTTAATGATAATATGACACACACTCATTTGCTGTCTGAGGTTGCTTCATGGCAATAGTCTCCTTTCAAAGGAGCCCTGCTTCCAGAAAGAGTGATTCCCACCAAATAAGAGTGCATGTATGGGACGCATTCTTTATCCTTGTCCTTTAGTTACATAACCTGTCAGTGAATTCTACTAATATGGAAAAAATTAGCCACATTTTCAGTATTGCTTGTTTGTTTTATTTGTTTACTAGCCAAAGAGCACTATCTGATGAAATTCATTTGTTTTTTGTCTACCAGAGAGGCATGCATGAAAAAATACACATCCTATAATTAGCATTTGGAACATATGTACCTAATATTAAGAAAAATTGTCTTAGAAACCAAGTGTTTTGGGAGTGATTATTAAGTGTTACAGGAAAGATTCCTCATTTCATGAGAGAATTTCTTTAAATAGATTTAGAAACATTTTTAAAAAAATAATTAGAAGCCTTTCATTGAAATTATATTTCAGGTTAAAGCCTGATATATAAAACATCATTGCCACTCTGATAAAAGACAAACACTGGGTTGAGTGTTCTAAGCCCTCCCTATTGGGTTCTGAAACACTTTTGCATAAATCTTGGAGCTACATGGAGCATAATTTGAAATCAATAAACAAAACCTTTAGAAGCAATTTGTTATGTCAGGTGGTTCAAAGAGGGAAAAATACTATAATGGAGGGATGAAATCAATGGATTTCACTTAGCTTTATTTTTATATCATTTTTGGATTCATATCAATTTGTTTTTATTTATGTTACCTCTGTTGTGCCATCTAAGCCCTATTAGGGACACAGCCTTAATTCCAGATTTATCTGATAATTATACTATGTAAAATACATGTGCACAGTAAATATTTCTTTTTTGATAGCATAGTACTATCTTGGAAATTGATAGCTAGAGCTATCTCAGACTCTTGTTAGTCGTTTTTGTTTCAAACTTTCTATTTTTAAGTAGTATTTTTTCAATGTAGTTTAGCAGAGAACTATCATAGATAACCCTATTCAAAGGCCAAGTTGGTAACAGAATTGAACTTTCTAAAGTTTTCAGTCCTCTTTGCTAGACTTACTGGTTTTAAGGCCTCCACAGATTTCAACAATGAAAATCTCCATAGCCACCCATAGTGCCTGACATGTATAGAAAGTGCTCAATAAATAGTGTTTTTTAAAAATTCTAAACTTTAAATGTCTTTAATAACCAGTTCCTATTCTGATTCTACCTAAACTGACATGCAAAGAAATAAAGACCCATCCTGTGAAACCAGTACTCAGGAAGAAATAGAAAGTGATCCAGCTCTCTTCCTCTTTTATTACATGTGGCATTACAGGATCATAATTATGAAAATGATGCAGAGGGCTCACCTCACTGATTATTTTTGGTTGCTAGGGTGGTCCGTGTATTTTTTCTGAAATATATTTACTGTTTCTTTTTTGCTTACAGTCTTAGATTTGTGACCCATGTATCTAAAAGAAATATTCTTTAAGAGAAATACCAGTAGATATTTTATTAAATGGCAAAATATATAATGGAATGCAAGTAAGTTATAATCAAGGTTTTGTGTTCTAATTAAGTCATATACTTTACTCTGTCAACATGTGAAATCAAGATTTTCCTTTAGATAATCACTTGACAATAATTATTTGTTTACCTACTTTAAAATCCTTTATTTATAGCTGTATTTCTTTTTTTTTCTACAGTCTAAAACTATAACAATAACGAATTCAGATACAGCGAATGAAGTTATCAGCATGTCTCTACCAATGCTAGGGATAACTGTAAGTGACTCTGCTAGATATTCCTAACTAACAAACTTTGGTACTTTTGATCCATGTAAATGTTATCTCTTCCATCATAAGGCAGCTGATTATTAGAGATTCAAAAGTCATATTTGTCCCCAAAAATGTAGAAAATAAAGACAGTAAGATCTGAATATTAGCTTAATATTGGGGACAAATATTAAAATGGAAGTAGCACCCATTTTATTCCCATTTTAAATTCTATGAAAACTGAAAAGCTTAAGGTTAGACTCTAGAGTGCTAATAAAATAAAATGTATTTATTGCATATGCAATATACATGTACAGGTGAGGAGTTTTTTGGTATAAGATTTTTAATAAGAAAATTTCTACTTCTCCTTTCCCACTTGTCTCTATACTATTCTTTCCCCATATTCACTCCTGGTTCTTCTCCCTTACCTAATTATTTTTATTATCCCAAGATTTAATAAGTCTTAGGATGAAGAATTCTGAAGGATTTTCTCTATAGTAGAATTTTTACATGAAGAATATATGGCTAGAAACCGTATTCACTGGCTGCAGGTCCAAAGGATAGGATGGCTGGTACCTCTAATGAATTAGTAAATTAAAAACAAGCTGTGAATTAGGTCATGGATTTAAAGAGCTTTAGTATACCGATTACATTTCCCCCTATTTTGGTTTTAGTTTCTTTCTGTTTTATGGGACAAGTTTTTGAAATGTTATTAATAGAAAAGATTGGGATATTGGAGGATGAAGCAAGGGAAAGAAAATTGGAAAGTTCTTGTCTCCTCGCTACCAGTGTATAACACCAAACAGTCAGTACTTGTGTTAAAAGGAGTGACTTTCCAAAGGGAGAAAACTGAAGGAAGCACTTGAACGACACCATTTCTTGAGTGAGATTCTCTACGAAAACATAGTATCACTACGAGGTGATATATGACATACGGTTAACATGTGCCAGAGTCTTATTAATTGTATTTAGATTTGCTTTTACCCAGTATCATAGGAAGTGTTTAAAAACTCAGATCAGCCAAAACTTAGGATAAAAAATCTTATTTCTGTTCATTACATTTAATATATTTAAGATATATTAGGTTTATATGCATTAAGTAAAGGCACCTCTGCATTGATTTCTAAGCTTATATAATTACATCTAGGAAGGGAGTGAGTAGTTTTTAAGGGGAAGGAAGGGAGATTAGTTAAGATGACTCATTTTCTTATTTACGCTTCTCCTTTGGATAAAGTGATCCATCTCCTTAGACCAAAAATGTTTCCACTCAGTATAATGATTTTTACTGTTCTAAGAGATTATTACAATGTTTTCAGACACTACCAGAACAAGAAAGGATTTTTATTGGATTGCTCTTCCTATTTGCAATACAGTTTCTGGATTAGGGAATGAGGAAGGAAATGATGAATAGACTGGGGAAGGGGTGGGGGATGATATTTTTCATAGCCACTACCTTTCTCTATAAGGTCAGGGCTATGATTTTTAATCAGAAGATAAAATCAAGAATATTAATATTGCCAATCTGTTTTGGCTTCATTTAAAATATTTTTTGCTTTTTTTCTCTCCTAGAAGATACAGTAAAGTTTGTATAATTTAGTGTCATTTCTTTGAAGTAGAATTTTTAATATTGCTAGTAATTCTGCTAGTAAACAATTCTGTTGTTTTCCATCACTGGGCCTCTTCTCCAGACAAAATTCTTGTCCTTTCTGTCCCTAGGACTGAACTTGCCTAAAATAAAGCCAGTGTAGATTGTGCCAGCTACCTACGTCCTCAAAGCCTCTTAGTTGTTCTGCTCAGAAGCAGCTGAGCTAATAGTTAGCCTTAGAGATTTTTAGTTTTTCATCACAGACACAATAGTGTTTGTGGTCCTGGATAACAAGGTTTTTTTTACAGGGGCATGCTGGAGATTAAGTCCAGTATTCTTTGAGAAGTCTGGAGACATACCAGAAGTCAGGACTTTAAAGAAGATGTTAGTTTTTTAGAAAACCAGGAAGTTTCTTTTCCTTTGTGATTGCACATTCCATGGGCTACCCATAATGGTAAAGTTCTGATTCCATTGCAGTACTTCGTTTCCTAGCCATCACTAGGAAAAAAGGGCAGGATCCTGAGTACTCTGTTGGGAATTGGAGAGAGAGGAGAAGGGTTATAGGAATCAGCACTGTCATCTTTAAAAACTATAACCACTTCCATGAGACTGAAGGTATTTATTTTATTCCCCTTTTTTGGCAAAACATAAAAATGCCAAAAATATGTCTTCATTCAATTAGTAAACATTAAAAAATAATTGTTAATTCTTTTATTTTTAAGGGCTCTGAGAGAGATTACCAGTTATGGGTCAATTCTGGAAAAGAAGAGGCACCATATCCACTTATTGGTAAGTTTCTGGGAAGATCTAAAATCGGTTTGATTGTGCTTTAATTATAATTCTAAATGTCTCAGGGTACTGATCATATGATCCTGAGCTTGATACTATTAAATATTAAATCTCATATAAAATTCATTTATTCATTCAATAAATATCTATCAAGCATTTTCTGTGTTCTAGACAAATAATATGTCTTCACTCAAATAGCTGATGATATAGTTGAGAAGAAAAATATAAATTTTCCTCTCTTCTCTTACATTTTACAGAGAGGGAGAGAGAGCATTTGCCAAACCATGTTAAATTTTTTTCTACAGGAAAGTAGTATGTATTTGGTATTCCTTTTCTCCTATATTTTTATTTGTTATATTAGGCTCTTTGATTTCCTGCTCCCTTTTCTACCTATTAAGTTGCCTCTATGGAAGACCATCTAGAATCTAGTCACACCTCTTAATCCTACAGAACTTTACTAGAATCATAAAGAAATGAGATTAACCTATTTAGGTTCCAAAGAATCTTCTCCAACTAGCTAATACTTTTTACATTGCCATTTCTCTAGCCAAATTTCTCAGCATTTGTTCTGAGGAATTATTGGTAAATAGGTTGATCTCCCCTTATTTAAATCATTTAGCTAAAAAATATTTTTTGATCAATTAAGATCATTCAGTATGGTTAAAAAAACTGAGCAGTTAAAATAAGGGTTAGTGTCTGTAGCAGATCTTCAGATGATTAAAATGATGATGATGATGATAGACAACTTTTTTTTTAAATTTTTTATTTATTTTTTTTATTTTAATCATTGTTCAAATACAGTTTTCTCCTTTTTACTCCCAATCCAGTCCCCCCTCCCACCCTCCCCACTCCCCTCCCATTACCACCCTCCCCTTAGTTTATGACCATGTGTCCTTTAAGTTTGTTCCTGTGAACCCTTCCCACTGTCCCCTGAAATTCCCTCTTCTCTCCCTTCTGGTCACTGTCAGCCTGTCCTCTATTTCAGTGTCTTTGGTTATATTTTGCTTATTTCTTTGTTTTGTTATTTAGCTTCCTGTTAAAGGTGAGATCATATGGTATTCGTCTTTCACTGCCTGGGTTGTTTCACTAAGCATAATGTTTTCCAGCTCCATACACGCTGTTGCAAAGGGTAGGAGCTCCTTCTTTCTTTCTGCTGCATAGAATTCCATTGTGTAAATGTACCATAGTTTTTTGATCCATTCATTTACTAATGGGCATCTTGGTTGCTTCCAGCATCTAGCTATTGTAAATTGTGCTGCTATGAAAATTGGGATGCATAGGCTGTTTTGAATTGGTGTTTTACTATTCTTGGGATAGAGTCCCAGCAGTGGAATTGCAGGGTCAAAAGGCAGATCCATTTTTAGTTTTCTGAGGAAGTTCCATACTGCTTTCCAGAGTGGTTGTACCAGTCTGCAGTCCCACCAGCAGTGCACTAGGGTTCCCTTTTCTCCACAACCTCTCCAACACTTGTTGTTTGTTGCCTTGTTTATGATGGCCATTCTGACTGGTGTGAAGTGGTATCTCATTGTGGTTTTAATTTGCATCTCTCTGATAGCTAGCGATATTGAACATCGTTTCATGTGTCTTTTGGATTTTCTGTATGTCCTCCTTGGAGAAGTGTCTGTTCAAGTCCTTTGCCCACTTTTTCATTGGATTCCTTGTCTTCTTAGAGTGCAGTCTTGTAAGTTCTTTATATATTTTGGAGATTAAACCCTTGTCTGAGGTATCATTGGCAAATATGTTTTCCCATACAGTTGGTTCTCTTTTAATTTTGTTACTGTTTTCTTTAGCTGTGCAGAAGCTTTTAATTTTGATGAGGTCCCATTTGTTTATTCTTTCCTTTATGTCCCTTGCTCTAGGGGACACGTCAGTAAAAAAGTTTCTTTGTGAAATATCTGAGATTTTCCTACCTACGTTCTCCTCTAGGACTTTAATGGTGTCACGTTTTATCTTTAAGTCTTTTATCCACCTTGAATTTATTTTTGTATATGGTGTAAGTTGGTGCTCAAGTTTCATGTTTTTGCACATGGCTGTCCAGTTCTCCCAACACCATTTGTTGAAGAGGCTATTTTTATTCCATTTTATGTTGCTGCCTCCTTCGTCAAACATTAATTGACCATAGAGATTTGGGCTTATTTCTGGGCTCTCTGTTCTGTTCCATTGGTCTATGTGCCTGTTTTAATGCCAGTACCAGGCTGTTTTGATTACAGTGGCCTTGTAGTATAGTTTAGTGTCGGGTATTGTGATGCCTCCTACTTTATTCTTCTTTCTCAAAATTGCAGCAGCTATTCGGGGTCATTTATCATTCCATATAAATTTTTGAAGTGTTTGTTCTATGTCTGTGAAATAAGCCATTGGTACTTTAATAGGAATTGCACTAAATGTATAAATTGCATTGGGTAGTATGGACATTTTGATGATATTAATTCTTCCAATCCAGGAACACGGTATATGTTTCCATTTGTTTTTGTCTTCCTTGATTTCTTTCTTCAGTGTTGTGTAGTTTTCTGAATACAGGTCTTTTACCACTTTGATTAGGTTTATTCCTAGATATTTTATTTTTCTTTTTGCTATTACAAATGGGATTTTTTCCTTGATCTCTGTTTGTGCTGTTTCATTGTTGGTGTACAGAAATACCTTTGATTTCTGGATATTGACTTTGTATCCCGCTGTTTTGCCAAATTCATTTATTAGGTCAAGCAGTTTTTTGGTAGAGTCTATGGGATTTTCTATGTATAGTATAATGTCATCTGCAAACAGTGACAGTTTTGTTTCCTCCTCTACAATTTGAATGCCTTTATTTCTTTTTCTTGTCTGATTGCTGTGGCTAAAACTTCCAGTACTATATTGAATAGAAGTGGTGAAAGCGGACAGCCTTGTCTTGTTCTTGATCTTAGTGGAAAAGATTTTAATTTTTGGCCATTGCGTATGATGCCGGCTGAAGGTCTCTCATATATAGCCTTTATTATGTTGAGGAATGCTCCCTCTATTCCCACTTTGCCGAGTGTTTTTATCATGAATGGGTGCTGTACCTTGTCAAATGCTTTTTCTGCATCAATTGATATGATCATGTGTTTTTGTCTTTGCTTTTGTTTATGTGATGTATTACATTTACTGACTTGTGAATATCGAACCATCCTTGCATCCCTAGGATGAATCCCACTTGGTCACGGTGTATAATCTTTTTAATGTATTGTTGGATGCAGTTTGCCAGTATTTTGTTGAGGATTTTAGTGTCAATGTTCATCAGTGATATTGGCCTGAAGTTTTCTTTCTTTGTTGTGTTTTTATTTGGTTTGGGAATTAGGATGATGTTGGCCTCATAAAAAGAGTTTGGGAGACTCCCATCTTTGTGGATTTTTTGAAATAGTCTGTGAAGGATGGGGGTTAGCTCTTCCTTAAATGCTTTGTAGAATTCTCCTGTGAAAGCATCTGGTCCCGGGCTTTTGTGTGTTGGGAGTTTTTTGATTACTGCTTCAATTTCTTTTGTTGTTATTGGTCTGTTCAGGCTTTCTGCTTCTTTTTCATTGAGTTTTGGAAGATTATATTTTTCTAGAAAGTTGTCCATTTCACCTAGGTTTTCAAATTTCTTGGCATACAATTCTTCACAGTAATTTCTTACAATCCTTTGTATTTCTGTGGTATCTGTTGTAATCTCTCCTCTTTCATTTCTGATTGTGTTTATTTGGGTCTTCTCTCTTTTTTTCTTGATGAGTCTGCTTAAAGGCTTGTCAATTTTGTTTATCTTTTCAAAGAACCAGCTCTTGGATTCATTCATCCTTAGGATTGTGCTTTTAGTCTCTATGTCATTTAATTCTGCTCTGATCTTGGTTATTTTCTTCCTTCTGCTTGCTCTGGGCTTCCTTTGTTGTTGTTCCTGGAGTTCTTGTAGACGTAGGGTTAGGTTGTTTGTTTGGAATGTTTCTAACCTTTTTAGGTGGGCTTGTATCACTATGAACTTTCCTCTCAGGACTGCCTTGGCTGTGTCCCATAAGTTTTGGGTTGTTGTGAGTTCGTTTTCACTTGTTTCCAGAAACCTTTTGATTTCTTCCCTAATATCATTCTTGACCCATTCATTGTTTAAGAGCATGCTATTTAATCCCCATGATTTTGAGTGTTTTTGGTTTTTTTCCTTCGGGTTGATTTCTAGCTTCAGTCCCTTGTGGTCTGAGAAAATGCTTGGTATGATTTCAATTTTCTTGAAATTCTTGAGGCTTGTTTTGTGTTCTATTATGTGGTCTATCTTTGAGGATGTTCCATGTACATTGGAAAAGAATGTATATTTAGCTTCTTTTGGATGGAGGGCCGTGTATATATCAGTAAAGTCCATTTCATCAAGGGTATTGTTCAATGCCACAATATCTTTGTTGATATTTTGTTTAGAAGATCTGTCCATTTTTGATAGTGGGGTGTTAAAATCTCCCACTATAATTCTGTTGCTGTCCATGTCTTTCTGGTAGTCCTCTATGATTTTCTTTATGTATTTCGGTGCTCCTATATTGGGTGCATATATATTTACAATATTTATGTCTTCTTGATGGATTCTTCCCTTGAATGTTATGAAGTGACTTTCTGGGTCTCTCTTTGTGGACCTTTTTTGGAAGTCTATTTTGTCTGATATGAGTATTGCTACCCCAGCTTTTTTTCCTATCCATTTGCTTGGAAGATTTGTTTCCAGCCCTTCACTTTCAGCCTGTGTAGGTCTTTTATCCTGAGGTGGGTCTCTTGTAGACAGCAGATATGTGGGTCATTTTTTCTTATCCAATTAGCTATTCTATGTCTTTTGATTGGAGCATTTAATCCATTCACATTTAAGGTTATTATTGATAGGTACTTATTCATTGTCTTTTATGTACGTGTGTTCCTCTCTCCCTGGCTCTCTTTTCCCTCCCTTCCTTAAAGCAGTCCTGTTAGAATCTTTTGCAGAGCTGGTTTGGTCGAGGTGTATTCTTTTAGACTTCTTTTGTCTGGGAACGTTCTTATTTGGCCTTCTATGTTGA